CTCATGCCACCTATGTCTCCGTGGGTCTTGCTGCCGAGCAACGATCGTTGGTGGGGGTCCACATCCAATGCCTGGGTCCGTTAAGCGTGGGCCCTTGTTCCTGTCTGCATACCTCGGCGCTGGGTTCCAAGCACGCTCTCCAGCCCGGAGCCAGCAGTCCTCTATACGCAGGTCACCTGTGTTGTGCTCAGCATCATCGCACCCTCATCTGCCTGTTGTCTCCTCTCTTAATCTCCTTCTCTGCTCTATACACAGTGCCAAAACCTCTCCTCCGACCCCAGGCGGCTCCTCCAGTGGTCCAGTCATTTCTGCGGCCCGATCACCCGAGACCCACGCCGGCAGCTCCGCGCCTGATCCTTGCCACCCCCTTTCCGTTCCATACTGTCAAATAAATATCTCTCTGACCTGAGTTTGAGTCCTGCCTAATACTGAGTCCAGTTGCTCTGTTGGTGTGCGGCTTGCCGTAACATAGTCATTCTCATGAGTTTTTGCAGGGTGCATATAGGCCAAGGACAACTAGATAGACAGTTTACAGGCAGGGGGATATTGTTATTATTATGATATGTGTAACCGTAATTGTAATCATAATATTTTCTTATGTGTAATGTCATGACATGTCACTAGATGTCATGTCAGAGTATTCTTAGATACACACCACGTAATCAACAGTCACACACATTGATTTTCTTCATGTTTTGACTATTGTTATGGTCAGCTCCAAGCTGGCATATCAGGTGACGCCACAGTTTGACGTCCCTCTGTAGTATGGGGCTAGCCCAACCGAAGTGATAAAATGTATAGGCTATTATGGTTCAGGGTCTTTCATTGTTCATCTGCCTGTGCACAGGATTGGAGGTGGAAGTTAACCTGGATGTGTAATGTTAATTTTACCAGTGATTCTTTGAATAAACCAGCACGATTATTATTTATATATCCAAGTGGTCTGCTTCGTCTCTCTGAGTTCCTGGTTAAAAGAGCCGAAATAGCTTCCAATAGCTTTCACTATTAAGCTCCTCTCCTATGGAACCAACTCCCAGTCTCAGTTCGGGAGGACACCCTCTCTACCTTTAAGATTAGACTTAAGACATTCCTTTTTGATAAAGCTTATAGTTAGGGCTGGATCAGGTGACCCTGAGCCTTCCCTTAGTTATGCTGCTATAGGCCTAGGCTGCTGGGGGGCCCCATGATGCTCTGAGTTTCTTTCCTTTCCTCTCTTCTCTCCTCTCCTCTCCTCTCCTCTCCTCTCCTCTCCTCCCCTCCCCTCTCTCCCTATGCTTCTATATGCCACCATTACACATCACTAACTTTGTGTCTCCTCTCTCCCGTAGTGTGTCCTCTCTCTCTCCCTGTACCTTTCTGCAGGTTGCCCTGGCCCTGGAGCTCTGTGTCCCTGACAAGCAGTCACCAGCCACATCGACCTGATCAGTGTTTGATTGTTTGTTGTGTCTTGTTGCTTTTCTTCTTTTCTCTCTCCTCTATCCACTCACTCAAACTGGTCGAGGCAGAAGGCCGCTCACCAAGAGCCGGGGTCTGTCGGAGGTTTCTTCTGTTAAAGGGAGTTTTTCCTCCCCACTGTCGCCAAATGCTTGCTAAAGGGGGATTTGTTTGGTTTTCCCTATGTAATAATAGTGATAACAGTAAGGTCTAGACCTTAGTTTGTAAAGTGTCCTGAGATGACTTTTGTTGTGATTTGGCACTATACAAATAAAATTTGATTTGATTTAAATTTGATGTGATTTTGATTTGGGTGTGTGCCTGCGTAGGTGTGTGTGCTTGGGAGTGTGAATGGGCTGATAGCGTGAATGTGCTTTGAGTGTGCTGCAATGCGTAGAAAAGCTGTCTACAAGTATAAGACCATTTAACATTTAAGAATATGTATGGTACATTTATGGTTATAGATGCCTTACCACCATGAGAATTATGTTTCTCTTCTTCTATGCATGTCTCTCCTTATAGAAGCAGAGACACACAAAGACACCCAAACATCACCACTGTCAGCAATGTGACAAAGCCTTCCTAAGGCCATCATATCTAAAGATTCATGAGAGATCTCACTCTGGAGAGAGGCCATACAGCTGTGGCCAATGTGCGAAAACTTTCACTCAGAAGAGTAACTTAAGCCGACATCAACGAATTCACACTGGAGAGGAACCGTACAGCTGTGACCAATGTGCGAAAACTTTTATTCAGAAAAGTGAGTTAAACCGACATCAGCGAATTCACACTGGAGAGCAACCGTACAGCTGTGACTGCTGTGGAAAGGCATTTACTCAGAAGAGTAATTTAAAACAACATCAACGAGTTCACACCGGAGAGAGGCCGTATGGATGTGACCAATGTGGGAAGCGTTTCGCTCAGAAGAGTCAGTTAAACCAACATAAACGAATTCACCCTGGAGTGAAGCCATACAGCTGTGGCCAATGTGGAAAGAATTTTACTTGGAAAAGTGAGTTAAATGCTCATCAACGAGTTCACACAAGAGATAAACCGTACAGCTGTGGCAAGTGTGGAAAGACTTTTATTTGGAAACGTGAACTAAATGCCCATCAAAGAATTCATACAGGAGAGCAACCATACAGCTGTGACCACTGTGGATAGCATTTACTCAGAAGAGTCAGTTAAACCAACATAAACGAATTCACACTGGAGCGAAGCCATACAGCTGTGACCGATGTGGAAAAATGTTTAGCTGCAAACTTAAACTAAATGCCCATCGCTAAATTCATACAGGTGTTAGGTTATTTCCTAGTTAGATAGATATTCAGAGATTTGTTGTCTAGAAATGTTAGTGGAGACAGAGTGACTAGCTCAGGTTGTTAACTGTGCTTGCAGTGCAGACTGCAGGCACGTCAAGGTTACAGGAAAAGAGCTGTTAGTGTCAACTGTAATGCTAGTCTTAATATTTGTCTTAATGTGTAAGGTTATGCCCAATTGTTTTAGATACACACCACGAAAACAACAGTCACGCACCTTGACTTTTCCTCATGTTTTGGCTAACGTTAAGAGTCAGCTGCAAAGCTGGCTTATCAGGTGACGTCACGGTTTTGACGCCCCTTGTAGCATGGGCTAGCCCAAGAAATGATTAAGATTATATAGGCTTTTTGGTCCAGGCTTCTTGAGCTTTTCTGCTGCCTGCGCGCAGGTAGAGGGGTGAGAAAGGTCTGGACGTGTAATGTGAATTTTACCTGTGATCCTCGGAATAAACCAGCACGGTTATTTTTTATAAAATCTAAAGCAGTCTGCTTCGTCTCATTGAGAGTTCCTGGTTTGAAAGAACCGGAAGAAGCTACAGAGAAATAAGAGCTTATACCCTTAAAGTTGATGTGTCAGCAAACAGTTGTCTTTAATACGTCCTGTGGACACTTGAAGTCATATTTGCACCAGTGTAAGATTTGAGTCTTATAGACTCTAGTTACTTTATCAGCTTTAGTTACTTCTCATGCCTTTAGTTCCCTTTAGTTACCTTTCATAACTTTATCTTACCTGATTACAGCTGTATTGGTTATTGTGCAGAACTACTGAGCTCTGGTTATTTTCTAATACATTTATTCTCCTTGCTTATATGTCTTACAATTGTAATGAGGTAGAATCTGCTTACTTCCTGCAACTTCTGAATGTCTGCATCCCCCAGGCAACCAGACAACCTATTTACATTTCAACAAAGCCCCACTAGCCCACACCTGGACACACCTAGCATATCTCAAGTTCTGCCCCACCAGGGGGTGTCTTACACACACAGGGGGTCTCATCACCTGAGATGACCACTTGGCCAGTCTAGCATACTTATTGTCTCACACACACATAGGGGACCTGCAACCCAGTTAACCCATTGTTCTGTGTGCTTGATCACGACTTAGTTATCACATGAGA